GAGAGAGAGAGAGAGAGAGAGAGAGAGAGAGAGAGAATGAATCAGACTTTCTGGCTAGGGCCCATTTGAAAGTAGAAATATAAAAAAAATGGACTGGACCTTTTTTGTACTGCATTAGCCATGAGTATTCAAGTAAATTCAGATTTCTTCTCTGTCACTGATGGATGTTTCTTTGATGAAATGTCAGGGAACATGTCCTCCCAGTGAAGACTAAACCATTAATTCTAACTAGTTTTTGTATTGCCTGGATTTTATATCTTATTGAATTTGTGAGGCTTCAGCATGTTCATGGATTTGTATGTTCATGGTAATTACATGATGGAAGATTACAGTTTAGTTCAGTCAGTGGTTAAGCAGATGAATATAACAGTGTTAGAGACTCCATTAACTTTTCTCTCACACCTTGGTATGAAAGCTATCAAGGTAAAAAACTGGTGACTAGCATTCCCAATATAAAGATTTCTCTCCTATTAATAATGAAATATTGGTAGGTGTTTTTCCCTTTCTACCATTAATTTCTTCTGCCAGTTAATTGACAATTAAGTTAAAGAATTTGATTTACTGAGGAAGTGCTAGAAGAAAAATCCAGTAAGAAGGAGAAAACCTTGACCTAAAATGATACAGTTCTCACTGAAGTCAGTGGGAGCTGTTCCCACTCACACCAGCCTTCCTAAGTTTAGTCCAAAGAGAGAGAAAGAGAGAGGGGTCATCAGCACAATTTATATGACTCCATTTCAGTGATGATCTCATTGACTGCTATGTGCTATCTCCAGCACTATAGGATGTTTCAGGTATTACTGTGTCAATGTTGCAACTCTGACAGGCTGTGAGACACAGAACAGAGAAAAAAGAGAAGAATAGGATGTGAGAAAAAAGCACACATATAATGCAGATTTATTGCAAGGCACTCACTTGTGCCACTAAGCTTTAATGGTGGGAATTGATTTTTCTGTTTTTAATGCATTGAAAACTTTTTTCTGTTACCTAAATAAAAATAGGCCATGATTCAACAGCATTTGAAAAAACACAGGAAGAAATAACAGGAAATGGTTTCACAAAATCAGGCTAGTGTTTTGGCTCAACTGTATTTGAACCAATTCACAAAAGCAGTTTCTTAGAGATTGCTCAGCGCTATCCTAGTGTTCTCTTTGCACTCACTCACACTACAAAAACATTGTCCATTCCTTCTAAAAATTCACTTAAAGCAACCACAGACCATTATTTACCAAAATATTGGCTCCATAGCACTTCTTTGGCAGCAAAAGGCCAAGATTAATACAATGTTACAAACATCATTTTTAGTAAATGTACTTAGGCAAGGGAGATAAGTCTGATCCAGCAGACATAGAATTTGGGAATAAAGTAAAGGTGACTATACTGAAGATCCTCTGGTCACTGCTGCTACAAGAAATAGGAGGAGGAAATAATAACCATACTATGATTCCTCTCAATTCCTTGCTATTACTACTCTTCTCACATTACGAATCTAATACACTGAATTCAATGGCATTTATGTTGATAAAATATCTATTCTCAATTGTATATTATATTTAACTGTAATTTAATATAAATAGGACAAATAAACCATCACTCACACTTGCCTCAGTTTTGCTTCCATAATTTACTCAATGACTCAAGGGAAATCAAAAAAGTTGCAGATGTTATTATAAAAATTACACTTGCAAATTCACAAGTCTTCATTTAAGATGGGGACAATACAACCCTTTTTGCCTTATATGCCTTGTTTAGGCTTAATACAAAATATGGCTTATCTTTCAAGTGTTGTAGTTTTCCTTCTGCAGCCACTAGAGGGAGAAATTTATTACTGGGCTCTCGTGGCTTCTAGTGCAGTTTTGGAACAGTATCATAAATGCTACTATTATATGAAAGATGTCCCTGGTGTGGTAAACACGGATAACACAATACAGAGTATCAAAAATAAAGTGAGATAAACTTTTTTTTTTTTTTTTTACAAATAAACTCCAATTAAAATCCTCAAACCTTGCAAATGTAAACACTACTTTAATTGTTCTTGCCTTGCCTGTAATACAAATCCTTCTATTGTGTTGATTCCCATTGCGTCCAGGGGATAGGAGTCCAAACAGGAAGAAAGCAGTTTACTGGTTTTCTATCAATAAACAAACAAAGGATGGTTTCTAGTAGCTTAAACTAATTTTGGAGGAAATATTATAAAATTAACTATTAGTATTGAGGAGCAGTGGGAATCCATTCCAGAATGAAAATAAGCCTATGATGAAACATTTATTAAATAGGTTGAACATTTTTAAACCTTGGGTATGCATTCCTCTCTCCCATTCTGTCATTTGAAAGAAAGAAATGCTTGCAGCTAAGAAACATGGGGTTTTTTGCATTGTGGAACCTTAAATACCAACCCACCATTTCATAGAACTGACAAGGCCATTTTGGTATGATAAAGTTATTCACAAAGTGTTTTCAAATTTGGCAAGCCCAAACTTAGCAACTGAACTCCACCCTTCAGCACCTAAATATAAACTGACCTGAATTTCAGAGCTATTGAGTACCCATACATTCCTTTGAAATCTTGGACTCTTGAAATTTCTGGAATATAGACAGGCACCGGGGGGACACCAGCCTACCAACAGTTAGTGATGATCTAGTGAAAGGGCACTTGGAGAGGCTTGATGTGTTCAAGTCAGCAGGCCCAAATGATCTTCATCCAAGGGTGCAGAAGGAATTGGCCAGTGTCATAGCAGGACCACTGACAAAACTATTTGAGCACACATGGCATTCAGGTCAGGTCCCAAGGGACAGGAAAAGGGTCAATGTGGTCCCTATTTTCAAAAAGGGGAAGAAGGAGGATCTGGGTAACTATAGACCGGTTAGTCTCACTTCTTTCCTTAGGAAAACCTTTGAAAAAATTATTAAAGAATACATGTGTGTGAGTCCATCAGGAAAAGTAATGCTGAAGGGCAACCAGCATGGATTTATAGCAGGTTGATCCTGCCTGACAAACCTTGTTTCTTTTTATGACCAGGTCACAAACTGCTTAGATGAAGGAGTCAAGGTGGATGTCATATACTTGGATTTTTAAAAAGCCTTTGATACAGTGTTACATCCCATTCTCATAAAAAAACCTGAGTGGCTGTGACTTAGATGATTACACAGTCAGGTGGGTGGCAAATTGACTAATGGGATGCACCCAGAGAGTGGTGGTGGATGGGTTGGTATCAACCTGGAAGGATGTGGGTAGTGGTGTCCCCCAGGGCTCAGTCCTCAGGCCAGTGCTGTTCAGTATCTTCATCAGTGATTTGGGCAAGGTTGTAGTGAGTGCACTGTCCAAATCTGTGGATGACACCAAATTATGGGGCAAAGCAGACGCACTGGAGGGCAGAAAGCAGATTCAGGAGGATTTGGACAAGCTGGAAAAGTGGGCAGAACAAAACAGGATTCAGTTTAACAAAGGTATGTGCAGAGTACTGCACCTAGGGAGAAGGAATCACCAACATACATACAGATTGGGGGATGACTTTCTAAGCAGCACAGCAGCAGAAAGGGATCTCAGAGTCATAGCTGACTCAAAGATGAACGTGAGTTGACAATGTGATGAAATGATCAATAGAGCTAACAGAGATGTAGGTTGTAACCGCACTCTATCATGCATTAACAGGTGCATCATGAACACGTCTAAAGAGGTGACACTTCCCCTCTATTCAGCATTGGTTAGGCCGCAGCTGGAGTACTGCATTCAGTTTTGGCCACCACACTTCAAGAAGGATGTGGATAACCTTGAGAGGGTTCAGAGAAGGGTCACTCGTACGATTAGGAACCTGCCGAATAGGTCCTATGAGGAGAGGTTAAGGGACCTGGGTCTGTTTAGTCTCCATAAGAGAAGGCTGAGAGTGGATTTGGTGGCCATCTACAAATTTGTCGGGGGGGGAGAGAGGGTGAAGCAGCAAGGAATAAGAGATACTCTGTTTACCAAGGCACCCCTGGAGTAACTAGAAACAATGGCCACAAAGTGACAGATTTAGACTAGACATTAGGAAGAACTTCTTTATGGTAAGGGTTACCAAAATCTGGAATGGCCTTCCAAGTGTGGTGGTGCTCTCCCCTACCTTGGAGGTCTTTAAGAAGAGACTGGACAAACACTTGGCTGGGGTCATCTGACCCCAGCACGCTTTCATGCCCAGAGCAGGGGGTTGGACTTGATGATCTGCTGAGGTCCCTTCTGACCCAGAAAATCTATGAAATTTATGAAATCTTATTTACAATAAATTGGGTTGATGATGGCTCAGTATGAGCTAGTGAGCTTGGCTTCAAGACCTAGACACAAATAAGAAACATTCTTACTGACTACAGACCATTTTTCTTTGCAGGGAAGGAATCAAAATCTAGCTGATATTCCTTAACTTTGTGGAGCAGGACCTCTCACTGGAACCTGGTTTCTTTAGTTAGAAGCCACCACATTGTTTTACACATTACAGCCTTACATATATTTTAGCAGGGATGCTCTTGAGCATGCCCCAACTACCCACAGCTGCTCCCACACTCCAGACCTGGTGAACGCACTTCAAAGACAGCACAAGTGATCATTGTCAAGCACATCAGAGATTGAAGTCTCAGTAGATACTGTGGGGGGAAATAACTGTGGTGGGAGTGACCATGGGGATGGGCAGGTTGCACTTCCAGGACACACAGGAAATGCAGTGTAGACAGACCCACTGCCTCCACTTAACGAAGACAAAGGATTAGGATAATAGGAAACTGGACTGAAAAAAATTCTCCTGTATCATTAATCCCAGTCTTAACCAACAGAGACAACCATCTCATATAATTTCTCTCCTCAATTTATCAAACTTCATCTTGAAGTTAGTTAGGGTTTTTGCTCCTACTACTCTTATTGGAATGTTGTTGCCAAACATCACTTCTCTGATGGCCAGAAAACTTTTATAATCAAATTTAAATTTATTTGTAGCCAACGTATACCCACTTGTTCTTATGCCAACATAATCATTTAGCTTAAGAAGCCTGACTTCCTCCCTGATATTTATCCTGTGGCTATTAACAGAAGACAATCACGTCCTCTCTGAGCCATCATTTTATTAGGCTAAAAAGCCAAGTTATTCTAAATTCTTTCTTTGGGATAGGAAACCAGAAATGGGCAAACGTGTTTACATTTTGGGCAATGCATTTCCAGTAGTTGATAGTGGCACACCCTTTTCTATAGGTTCATTTTGAGCAGTGGTTCTCAACCACTGCTCAAGGCACTCCTCAGAAAATGCCAACTTCTAGTTTTCATTGTTTTTTGACTACAGAAAAATAAGAGAGCAATTCTTCTGTTGCAAGGAACTCAGAAAGACCCCAGTAGGTCCGAATGCTTTTAATACTATGAACTCCTATTTGAAATCTCTGGGTTTAACTATGAATAATGTTTGTACACCTAACAATGTGCGGCACCTCATGATACCCTTGAAAGGATCCCAAGGCACCCCAGGGTACCACAGCATCCTGGCTGAGGATCACTGATTTAGAGATTCAAGTTCTAAACCCCACTGTGCTCTTTTCCTCAGCCCCAGAACAAGCCAACCTGACATTAACATTGTTTCCTCTTGATGGTGAACTGGATTTCTCAACTTGAAGCTACATATGAGGTAAAGGAGAATCATATCTTATCCCACTTTAATTGTTCCTGAGGGACAAGAAAGCTGTCTGTGCCTTTTCTTTCTTTCCCCCTGCCCCCTTTCCTTACCCCTGTTACAAAAACAGTCAAACAGAAGAGGAGGAATACAAAAGCATTTTCACACCTAATGCAGTATCTTCTTCACGAAGTATATGGAGCCAGGCTGACAGCACTTTGGCACCATTATTATAAAGCAACTTGGGGGCTAAATTATAGCTAAGAGGTCTAAATCTAAAATCCATAGCTCCTGCTGTATTTTTGTTGGTTTTATTGTTGTAAGAATGATGCTTTTATGGTTTCAGGATCCTAAAAATTGCAATTTTCTTTCTGCTCCATCCAAGTGATGCGCTGGTTTTTTTCAGCGGGTCCATATCAGAAAGCTTTAGAATGCGTTCCAGACCTTTCTCTTTCCCTTTTTATAATAAAAGCTATTCAACAATAATTTTCATTCCAAAAGGATTTCCATCAACCTTAAGAAGTTATGGTAAGGGTGTCATTCATGAACATTTCCTTTAATTGCAAAGTTTCTGTGTCAGAATCTTTTCTAAGGTGATTCTACAATATGCATTTCACATAAACCTGAATTGCAGGTTAGACTGCATTTTAAGTATGAAATATTAAATTAGATCATAACAGTTAAATCATTCCATTGTCATTCCAGTACTGTAACTCAGGCTGGCAGACCCCAGATTCAGTGATGTCACCATTAGTATTTTGCTAAGGTTGTGAACAGTGTTCAGTTTCTATTAATTAGCATCAATCGATTAAAGGTATTAACATTTTTTACCCTGTATCACACTTTAAATTATCAGTTGCTTTTTAGTGTTTTAAAAATGCATATCAATGAATTAAGATGGCAGGTTAAGAAAGTTAATATACTATAGCGAGAGACAGAAGTGCTATTAGCATGTTTAAAGCCAAGTGGAATTGTGGGTTCTTAGCACTTCGCAAAATCAGGCTCTTTGGGGCCTTGGTCTCTTAAAAATTGTTTATTTGCAGCTAGATTTTGCATTTAGATACTTGCTTGGATAAGGAACACTATATATGTCCACAACAGTCAAGGGGAGCAGTGAGACATTTTGGGTCTCACACACATCATTCATTGGCACAGTTCCTCCTGGGGCTCCCCTATTTCAGGGAGAAAGGCATTTTTGTGCAACATACTCTGTTCCTCAGCAATAAGGGAGTTCAGACTTAGGTCTCTGCTAATTCCCTGTCTCCTTCTGCCCACTTGCTTCTTGGGGGAGCAGTTGGCAAGTAGCCTCTTTGTTTCTCTTGGTTCAAAGCTTTCATATTCTCTCACTTTGATTCAAGGGAAGATCTTTCTTCCTAGTAGGGCTGGTATCAGATGGACAAATGCAGGAATTTCAACAGTTCTATCATGGCAAGGTACAAAAATCAGACAGTCTCCAACCCCCTGAAGCGATCCATAGAGAAGCTGTCTCTAATTGCAGGAGAGGCCTGAAACCAACTGAAGGTTCTGGTATTTCCAGTCCAACCGATTCCAGTCCTGCCCAGGATGCAGCTTTGGCACAAATATTTTGGTGCACAAATGTTAAAAATGAAATTCCTTAGACCAAACAAAACTCGCCTCATTTGGGATTTAATTATGCTTCTTAAAACCAGGCCCACTTGCAGTGAGGTGGATGAACTGGAACCAAGTTGCATGCAAATATACTCTTACCTGCTGGTTTGAGGGAGGGTTTTATGGTGTTGTATGGTTTTGGACTCCAACCAGGAAAAACTTGGCATTCATGGTTAACTTTCACTTTGAATGTTCAGGTTCAGATTTCAAAGAGAAGCTCTGGGGGTTAGAACACAGGCCAACCAAAAACAAAATGCCCTCAGTCCTCCTATGAACTGCAGCCACTGAGATTTTCACAGCTCCACAGGTACCTACCCTACTGGGACATTATGAGTTGAAACTTATTCTTGTGCAGTGTTTTGTTGTTGTTGTTATAGTGCAGTCAGCACTACGCCTATGTATAACATGCCAATACAAAAACATGTCTTCACTGATGGAGTCTCTGAACTAGACATAGTGTCATGGAAGGAAATGACAAAAGGCCATAAGTTATACTGTACGGTCAGCAACGCAGATAACAGATAAACGACAGAAGGTCAAATCAAAGACTAAATGACAGTGATTGC